CGAGTGCTGGGATTAAAGGCCTGTGCTGCCACACCCAGCTGTTCTCTGTCTTTTTAAAACCATGTTTTTTTGGTTTTTTGTTTTGTTTTGTTTTTGTTTTTGTTTTTTCCAAGCCTACGTATTTTTTTAAAACACACTGCAAACCTTTAGAGGTTTTCCTTCATATGAATCTGTCTTTACTGTAAATCTTTATCTTTTTCTGGCCATGAGTCTTTATCTGTTAAACAACAACATTGTTAAAATGAAAGTCTTTGTTGTTTCTGCCGCGGTTATCAAAGATGGCAGTGGGTACCTTTACCGCCAGCAATGAAAACTGTAGTCACTGCCCTGGTCAACGCTGCCATCCAGCAGGCATGCTGCCGGCTTGGAGATGTGGTCACTGCAATCGCCATCTCTCATGCACACCAATAAATTGTTAGCAGAGTTATTTAAAAGCCGTGCAGGTTTTTTGCCGCTTATGCTGAGTCAGGAATCCTCCCTTAAAGGAGCCGCACAAATATCTGCTTGTCTCTCGCAAAGTAGATTCCAACCGAGAATAATGCTGCTACCAAGAACCTTGCTTGTCTGTGTTCTTTTGTTTCTAACACCCCTTTTTTAAGCTTCTGTTAAATTTTAAGTGGAAGTTCTTATTAGCCACGTAAGGAGTATGGGTTTTTCCTCCCGCCGCCAGTCTTGTCCAGCCACTGCGCCAGCCCCAAATAATACACAGAGACTCTGTATTAGATATTATACCGTTGGCCAGTTACTACTTCTTATCGGCTAGCTCTGTCTTAAGTATTAACCCATTTGTGTTAATCTATGTATTTCCATGTGGTCTTCTTACAGGGAGCCGGCTGCCACAGACAGCTCTCTCCAGACTCTCCATCTTTTCCCCTCCTTCCTACTTCCTCTTCCTCCTTGTCTCCTAGCCCCTCCTATCTTCCTTTCCTATTGGCCAACAGTGCTTTATTTATTAACCAGTATGAGAAACATATACAGAATGACATTTCCCATCACTAAGGCTTTCAGTTGTGCTGTTAATTCTCTAATGTGATTATCTTCCGTTTTCTTCACATGGGCACTTAATGCAATGAACTTCCCTGGTAACACTGCTTTTAAGGTGTCGCATAAGTTCGGGTATGTTGTGTCCTTAATTTTTTTTTTCTTTATTTCTTCTTTGACTCAGGTATAGTGCAATTGGGCATTATTCAGTTTCCAATGAGTTTGTAAGGTTTCTGCAATTTGTGTTGTTGTTAAATTCCAACTTTAAAGCATGGTGGTCTGATAAGATACAGGGGACTATTCCAATTTTTTTGTATCTGTTGAGGTTTGTTTTGTTGCCTAGTAGGTGGTCGATTTTAGAGAAGGTTGCATGTGGAGCAGAGAAAAAGCTATATTCTTTTGTGTTTGGATGGAATGTTCTATAGATATCTGAGACATAACTTCTGTTATTTCTTTTGTTTCTTTGTTAAGTTTCTGCCTGGTGGTCCTGTCTAGTGGTGAGAGTGGGATGTTGAAGTCTCCCACTATGAGTGTGTGAGATTTTATGTGAGCTTTGAGTTTTAGCAGTGTTTCTTTATATTTGGGTAGTAGATGTTCAGAATTGAGACTTTGTGTTGATGGATTTCTCCTGTGATGAATACGAAATGACCGTCTTCATCTCTTTTGATTAATTTTGGTTTGAAGTCTAACTTGTTAGATATTAGGATAACCACACCTGCTTTTTTCCTTGGGTCCATTTGATTGGACGATCTTTTCCCAACCCTTTACCCTGAGGTAATGTCTGTCCTTGAAACTTACATGTGCTTCTTGTTTGCAGCAGAAGAATGGATTCTGTCTTTGTATCAATTCTGTTAGCCTGTGTCTTTTTATGGGTGAATTAAGACCATTAATGTTGAGGAAAAGTAAGGACCATTGATTGTTAATGCTTGTTTGTTTTAGATTTGTTGGTGGTGGTATTGTGGATATATTTCCCCTGCTTTACCATTGGGTCCTGGTGAAGTGGGATTATCTATTGCCTTTGTGAGGTTAGTTAATTTCCTTGGGTTGGAGTTTTCCTTCCAGAATTTTCTGTAGGGCTGGATTTGTAGATATGTATTGTGAAAACCTGGCTTTGTCATTAAATGTCTTGTTTTCTCTGTCTATAGTGGTTGAGAGTTTTTCTGGGTATAGTAGCCTTGGCTGGCATCCGTGTACGCTTAGTACTTGTAGAACATCTATCCAGGGCTTTCTGGCCTTGAGAGTTTACATGGAGAAGTCAGATGTAATTTTGATAGGTCTGCCTTTATATGTTACCTGGCCGTTTTCCTTCGTTCCTCTTAATCTTTCTTCATTGTATATGTTAGGTGTTTTGATTATTATGTGTGGAGGGGTCTTTTTTCTTTGATCCAGTATATGCAGTGTTCGGTATGCTTCTTGTACTTTCATGGGCATGTCCTTCTTCAGATTGGGAAAGTTTTCTTCAATTTTTTTATTGAATATGTTTTCTGCACTGTTGAGCTGGGCTTCTTTGCCTTCCTCTATGCCTATCATTCTTAGGTTTGGCCTTTTCACAATGTCCCACATTTTCTGGATGTTTTGTGTTTTGTTTTTTCTTGGTTTTCCATACTTTAAGAGATTTGTTCATTTCTTCCTATTTTTTTTTTTTTTTTTTTTTTTTTTCTTCTTCCATTTCTCTAAGGGATTTTCTTACATCGTCTTTGAAGGCCTCTATCATTTTTATGAAGATATTAGATACTTTTTAAAGCGTTTTCTTCTGCTTCATTGGGGTGTTCAGGTGTAGAATCCCTAGAATCTGGTGGTGTTATGCTTGTCTTTCTATTGTTAGGTGTTTTCTTGTATTGCCATCTTCCCATTGCTTCTTCCATTAGTTGCAGGTGGGGTCTCACTGTGTCTCTCTCTGTGGTACTCCTCCAGTGGGCTTAGGTGGGTCAGAAGTTTGATGTCTGTAGCTCTGGGTGGTCCAAGCTCTCTAGGAGGTCTCTCCTCAGACAGGGGCCTGGCGATGGGGGGGTCAAAGATCAGGCTCCAGTAGTGGCCCAATGATGGGCGTCAAAGATCCTGAAGGCTGGGACTCAGGATGTTCGCCCTGATAGGCAGATCTAGCCAGGGCCTGGAACTATGCAGCTGAGGCCTCTTTAACACAGCCTGCAGATGGGGATCAATGATCCAGCCTGCAGGGACTCAGGATAGCCCTGAGTGGATAGGTGGATCTCTGGGAGGGTCCTAGAACTCCAGGAGAGGACCGGAGGAGGGGGTCAGAGATCAGGGAGGCTGGAATTCTGGGTGGTCCCATATGAATAGGCATGTCTAGTGTACTCAGAAAAGCTCCAGGAAGTTCCCGGGAGGTGGCAGGAATCAATCTACCACGTTTTTAAAGAGCCTTCACTACTGAGTAATCAGATTGTTTATAATTTTTTCTGTTAATACATAATATTCATTCAAGAACAAAAACTACACATTTAAAAAAAAAAAAAGAACAAGTATTACTCCCAGAAAAATAGAAGTTTGAATGTGAAATATAATAGTAGACCTAACCTCAGCTTAACTATGAACAATAAATTGTATCGTGATAAATAGATTCTGAATCTGTATTTAACATTCAGTTGTGATATCGTTCACTGGATTGAGAGGACAGACGTGTGTGATGTGAATATGGGATTGGGGAAGTAGTGAGCTAAACCCTGATGTTTGCCTGTTTGTTTGGAGTTTGGGATTATGTCTTACTATGGATTTGAGACTAGACTCTTGCTTGATGTGTTGCTATGTAGCCCAGGGTAGACTCAGATTCTTGCCTCTTTTCCCTTAGCTTCCTCAGTACTAGAACTCAGTGTATAGATCAGACTAGCCTCCAACTCACAGAGATTCACCAACTCTTGCTCTTTGATGTAGCCCAGGATGTGAGTCCCAGAAAGCCAGGGTTATTTAAGAGAAACCCTGTGTGTGTGTGTGTGTGTGTGTGTGTGTGTGTGTGTGTGCGTGCGTGCGTGCGTGCGTGCGTGTGTATGCTTGTCCCCTCATTTTTTTATACATCCTGCTTTCCCCACAGCTGGCTGGCATCTCTCTGTCTGTCTAACTCTACCTTTCTTCTTCCCATCATTCTCCTAGTTTGGTTGTCCTGCTTATAATTCCTGCCTGGCTACTGGCTAATCAGCTTTTTATTAAACCAATCCAAATGACAATTCTTCACAGTGTACAAAAGGATTATTCCACAGAATGTGTATGTATGTATGTATGTGCATGTATATGTGTATGGTGTCTATGTGTATGTATGGATGTATATATGTGTGTATGCATGTATGTGTGTGTATCTGCCTGCTTCTGCCCCCCCCCCCCGAGTGCTGGGGTTAAAAGCATGTGTCATATGTTGACTTTAGGTGTTTTTAATTTTTTTTTCTTTCTCTTCCTTTTCTTCTCTCTCTCTCTCTCTCCCTCTCTCTCCCTCCTCCCCTCCCTCCCTGCCTTCCCTCTTGTTTGTTTGTTTTTGATTTTTCAGAACAGTATTTCTCTGTGTAACTCTGGCTATCAAGGAATTGAGAGGTCCAACTGCTTCAGAATACTGAGATTAAAGGCTGTGCCACTATTGCCCAGTTCATGTGTTGACTTTAAATTATAAAAAAACTTGTTTTTTGGTTTTTGCAAGAAAATGTTTCTGTGTGTAGCCCTTGGTGTTCTGGAACTTGCTCTGTAGACCATTCTGGCTTCAAACTCACAGAGATTCCCCCTGCCTCCAAGCACCAGGATTAAAGGCAAGCACCACCACTACCCAGTTTCAATTATAAAAGCTTTAACAACTTTTCTGGGCAAAAAACCAAAAACCTAAAAATTGATAAAAAATAAAGGCAACATGTGCAAAACAGGTTGATTCCAGAGTGGAAATCACTAAGTTCATTCATGAAGGACTAATTTTGGAAAACACTGGGCACAAGATGCCTTATTTAACACCCTTGAGGACTCTTTTGAAATGACATCAAACAATGTTGCTGACTTTGTGTAACCTGTTTGAATCCTGATTTCTACAGGACTATGTCAAGCCTAGAAGAAATTGTTGAAAAGCAAGGAGACATAATAGCATATCTGAAGCGACACAACGCCCTGTTGAGTAAGCGGTTGTTGGACCTGGCCTCTCAGCCAGCTAGGACATGATAGCTGGCCCTGACAGCTATTGAGTCCACAGAACTCCCAACTGCCCATCTGCCGGCTGCCACAGGAACCACAGCCTTGTTCACTGTATGTGCTGGGAACCTGAGCACCTGGGTGACTATAAAAGACTGGAAAACTTAAGAAGGTTCTATACAGTTTGAAACAATTTAATTTCTTGACTTTTCTGGAATCCAAGCTATTGTTTAAGGACCCTGGAATATTTTGGCTCTTTGTTAAGCAAGTGTGATGTGACAATCTGCTGTAAACAGGGTTTTAAAACCAGTACATTCTTGTCACAGTGAAACCACTAAGAGAAGGCATTCTTTCTTGTGCTTGGTGTTTGCTTCAGAAGAGGCTCACAGGCATTTTATATGGGTGTGGGCACACTGGATGAGAGAAAAGGTCAATTAAAATTTGTTTTTTATTTGCTTTCTTGTTTGTTTTCCAGGGCTGGGGATCAACCCAGATGTCTCACATGTAATAAGCCAACCTTGCCACTGAGTCAGCTTTTACATGGAATTTCCTAAACCAGTCATGGTGACTCACACCTGTAATCCCAGCACCTGAAAAGCTGAGGCAGGAGGATCACCTTTAGCTTGAGGCCAGCCCATTGCTCAGCCCATAGAATGAGACCTTGCTCCAAAACCACAAAAGTTTCCTCTTTATGGAACCAGTCTCATCAGGATATGTGCTCTGCTAGTTCTGCAGCCTGTTGTTGAGAAATAAATGCAAAGAATTCTTGGGGGAAGAGGGGGCACGTGGTTAAGTGGCAACCCCTATTACATAGTGACCTTCCATTGGCAAGTGTTGAGATTTAGAAATCTCACTTTCGCTTTATCGCTGCCCTTCTTCAAGGAGTTGTCATATATCTGTTATACTTTGAGTTTATGTTAGCTAAGCATGGTGGCCCATGACTGTCATCCTAGTACTTGGGTGGCAGACACATAAGTTCAGGACTAACCTGGTCCAAATAATGAGTCTCAGGTTAGCCAAAGCTACAAAGAGATCCTGCCCCCCAAAAAAAATCCCACAAAAAATAATAATGTGTTTACATATAGGAATAAGACCATCTATAGGTTACAATTCAACCAAATAGTGCTAGTAAGATGGCTCACTGATACGTAAGCCTGATGACCTGAGGAGGAGAGATTAACTCCTGAAAGTTGTCCTCTGGCCATTAAAGTCTCAAATGGCATTCTTGTGTGTGCATTGACACATGTCACACACATCACACAAATACATTTTTCCAGTGTCTAAGTAAGAAAAAGGTTCTTTTGGTCTTGTAGTTCAAAATTGTGATGGGATTAAAATGTCAGGTCAATTTATGTATGGGTATTATTAAACAGACAATTCTTGCAATGAGAATGAAGTGTTTTGTCTGGGACCATTTCTCCTAGAGCTCCTTTTAATCAGTTGCATCACCTTAGAAAGTCTTTGGTTTTTGAGATAGGAACTCATGTGGCTAGGGCTTGTCTTGGAACCCCTTTCTTCCTCCTCCCAGTCAGTGAGATCACAGGGGTCAGGTCTCTATGCTCAACTTAGAAAGACTTTTCACTGAGGACTTGTGAGTGACATCTCTGTTCTGCAGGCTGTAGTCTTTAGCCTAATACTCAACATTTTATTTGCAGAGGCAAACATAATTATTTAGGGATATAATGGATGCAACCTGACAGCCAAGGACTGTTCACTTGACCCTACAAACTCTTGCTTGTGGACAGTAAATTACTGTTTCTTTTGATACAGCTGTTGCTGGGGTACTCTAAAAGTTTTCCTCCCCCAAGATAAACATGTGCATGTCTTCTCCTGGAAAGAGGATTGAGTCTCCAAAAAGTAATACCGGCATTCACATATTGAAGCCACATTGTACTTAAAGAGTTCCCAGGGCTGGAAGGATGGTTCAGTGGGGAGGTATGCATATGGAGCTTTGCAGAAGATGGAGTTAAGTCCCCATACCCAGGTTGCCATTTCTTTTGACTATGAATGAAATTGTTACCTGTCCCAGATCTGTGACCTTGTGCCATTCATCCCAAATCCTTTGTTCAAATAGTTCTCCTGGGATAATCTTGTTATTTGTTGTTGTTGTTTGAGGCAAGGTCTCAGATTGCCCAGGGGGCTCAAACTCCCTATATACCTAAGGATGACCTTGAATTTGTGACTTTTCTACCTCTAGCTCCCAAGTGCTGGAATTACAGGCATCCCCATCATGGTCCCCCTTTATGGAACAGGAATGGAGCTTAGTGCTGTGTGCATGCTACCATCTCCAGCCCCTTTACTCTTGGTAAATTGTTTTTGATAAATCTTTAACATGCTTATTTTTAATTTAATTACTTTAATACAATTATTTAGTTTTAATTTAATTACTTTAATACAATTATTTAGTATACCTGCACAGAATAAAATTCCTTAAAATACTTTTTATTAAATTTTATTTTTTTAAAAAGGTTTTTAATTTTACTACGCATAAATGTTTTGCCTGCTTATGTGCCTGTGTAGTGTGTATGCCTGGTGTCCATGGAGACTAGAAGAGATCACCTAGAACTGGAATTACAGGTGGCTGTGAGCCATCATGTGAGTCCCAGGAATGAAACCCAGGTCCTTTGCAGAAGCCTGGAGTGCTGGTGACCACTGAGCCATCTGTCCAGCCCCAGAGGTCTAAACCACACATTAGGTTGTGTACACACGATTCCTTCTCAAATCCGAAGGCCTGGTAGTGAAAGTCCTTAGAAAATCAACTGCTCTTCCCTACCTCGAGGTTTCTCCTGGTTCTCTGGTTTGGACTGCCAAGTACATTATCACCTCAGGGCCTTCACACCTGTTTTTCCCATTGCCTAGAACGGTAAACTCTCACATATTCTTTGTTTCCTTGGTGTCACTTAATGAGGAAGCCCCTCTAAAACTGCAGTCGTAAATCCTGGAGTGCTGACTCCTGCCTATAATCCTAGTACTTGGGAAGTGAAGGCAGGAGGTTCAAACTCAGGGCTATCTGGATTACACATAGGACTCAAGGTCAGCTGAGGCTTCAAGACAGACACCCCATCTCAATACTAAGAACCACCTGCAGCCTTAGTGTGGGGTCTGCAGCTCAGGAGTATTGAATCTGGAAGTTGGATTCTACCACAGAACCATAAAATCAGCCATCATCCAAAACCACAGCCTCCTCCGAATGCAGGTGCATGCTCACTCTCAAGGCTGTAACAACCCCCAGCATGCATGTCAGGTGGTTCACAACTGCCTTCTGTACCCCTGCTCCAGAGATCTGATACCCTCTTCTGGCCTAACACATGCACACATACAGGGGGAAGAAATCTTTTGTAACCAAAGAAAAACTCCCAGGGAGCTAGGCATAACACGGTGCCTCATTTTAGGAATCGCAGCATCCAGGAAGCCGAAGCAGGACTGCTGTGGATCTGAGTGAGACCCTGTCTCAAAAAACCAAAGTCCTAACTAAATACTCTGCTAGCCCAGCCTTGTGGCCCAGGCCTAAGATGTTAGGGTGTGGAGAACCGAGAATTTGGATCATCTTCAACTATAGAGTCAACTATAGAGTCAAAGGAACACCAAATGACACTGTTGCATTCTAACAAAAAAAAAAAAAAAGTGACTTATGCACCTCTACCCACATAGAGATTCCAGCATGTCTTGATAGTTTCAAGCTGGAGGCGAAGCCATTCGTTACTGCTTGGGCCTTTGGGGCAAAGAGCGGGTCCAGACTAGAAGACCAGTGTATATGAGTGCTGCTACTAATAACATCGTTGGGGACACACTGGGGTCCTTTATTGAATGAGGAAGAGTATACATTCTTTTTACATTATTTTTATGTGTATGAGTGTTTTGCCTGCATATTATGTATGTGTGTGCCCCTGGGTATGCCCAATCCCTGCAGAGGCCAGAAGAGGGCATCTGGTCTCTGGAACTAGAGTTAAATCCCTGGAACCCCCTAGGTTTAGGGAGATAACTAATTCCAGCAAGTTGTCCTGTGTCCTTCATTTGACTGTCGTGGCACGGTTCCCACCCATAAATTATAAGTGTAATTTTAATGCAAGAAAGTTCATTTCTGGACCTGAGAAACAGCTGTTACTAGACTGCTTGCCTAATGTGCACAAGGCCCTGGACTCTGTCCTCCACAGTGCATACCACCGGGAGTGGTAGCACCTGCTGTAATCCCAGCATTTAGGAGGTAGAAGAAACAGGATGTTGGAAAAGCCACTGTTAGCCCACCCCCCAAAGCAAAAAAACCAGATCCTCCTGCTTCTACCTCTAAGTGAGCACCTATATATTTAAGAATTAAGTAAAGGGGGCTGGAGAGATGGTTCAGCAGTTAAGAGCACTAGGCTACTCTTCCAGAGGGTCCTGAGTTCAATTCCCAGGAACTACATGGTGGCTTACAAGCATCTACAGTGGGATCTGGTGCCCTCTTCTAGCACAAAGGAATCTATGCAGATAGAGCACTCATACATTAGAATAGATAAAGGGGCTTAAAAACAAAAAGAATTAAGTGAAAAACTACGAGAAGGCAAGAGCAGTAACTCCAAACCCTGAAGAACAATCTTTTTCATATACAGTCATTTTTCTTTTATTAAAATTAGATTTAATGGATAAAAACAGTACATTAATGGGAACCTTGTCACACCTCAACATGTAGTACATTTGTTTAACTATCAGGTTCATCTTACTTTCTGGTGAAAACACCCCAATGCTTTCCTGTGGCTTTTTGAAATATAAAGTGCATTATCGTCTGCAGTCACCCACTTTGCTATAGTACAAGGGTATTTTTCCTTTGCCTCGGCTGTAACTTAGTAGTGATTTATCAGTCCCTTCCTCTCCCTTGTTGTCTCCTCTATGCAAACCTGATTACCTGCCTGCCTGCCTGTGTGACACACACACACACACACACACACACACACACACACACACACAAATTTTTTTTAAAATTAGTTTTAAAAAACATGCAAAATGTATTGAGGCATAAAGGCATTTGCCAGCCATCCCAGCTACTTGTGGGGTCAGGGTGAAAGGTGAGAATAACAAATTCAGGGTTAGCCTGGACAACTTAACAAGACCACATCAAAATCAAACAGGGCTGATGTTATCTCAGTACACAGAACTTTCATAGCATGCTCAAGGCCCTGAACCCAATCCCTAGTACTGGATAGGGAAAAAGAGGAAGGGGTAAGGGAAGGAGAGAGGAAGAGAAAGGGGGGGTAATATTCTTTATTAATATTTAAGGTGTTTCTGAGATCATAAGGAAATTTCAAAGGCTGGGCTTTTGTGAGACAGAGGCTAGGCAATCAGGATTCCAAGGTCAGCCTCTGATTGGTAGTTTGAGGTTAGCCTAGACTACATAAGATCCTCTAGGATAAAAAATAAATAAACACATTCTTAAAACTCCGATCACTTTCTGAGGTGGGTTGGACTGATAAGCTAGCCACTTGGGAGTGCTGAGCCAGGAGGGCTGCAGAGTTAGTTAAGGCTAGCCTGGTTGACTCACCAAGACTGTCTCAAGGGTGAAAAGATTCAAGTACACTGCTCTGGTGCATCATTTGCTAGGCATGGGTTTTAATAGCCAAACTTTTTTCAGATGTGAGACTCAGAAGTTTAAAAATGCTTCTGTTGCCTGACATGGTAATCTATGCCTATAAACCCAGAGTACAGGAAGCTGAGATGGGATTACTGACAGTGGCCAGCCTCATCAGCATATCAAGTTCCAGACCAATCAAAACAGATAAAAGAATGTAAGGATATGTAAGGATGGAAAAATACAGCCTAACTCTTCAATGACCCCAAGATGCTCCAGATATTAGAAAGAAACTCCACAGAGACTGGAAGGGTTATAGGAATCTGAGTTGCGTGATTTAGTGAAAGAGGCAGAAAAAGTGTATTGTAAAAGGGAGAAAGAGGAAGAAAAGGAACAAAGAAAAGAGAAGGGAAAAAAAAGAGAGAGGACAGGTGTAACAGGAGACAGGAAAAAATTTGACTAAAAACTTGACCGCAGTGGTTAAAAAAAGAGAGAGAGGGAGAGAAATTAAAAAATTTAGAGCAGGCCCTAGACAGTCTGGAAACCTGGGCAACAGGACCCCACTCGACAAGGACAATGGCACCAATGGGTGCCACAGGGCAACGGCAGTATTCATGGACTACCTGAAGAACCGTGGACCTTGGTGTGGGCTGGGTACCCCACTCGTTCCTGGTTATCCCAGAGTGACCTTACCCTCTGTTAGGAAGAGACATTCTGTCAAAAGTAGGAGCCCAGATTCATTTGGACTCTGAACAGCCATCAGTAACCAATAAACAGGGAAGGAGCGTGATCCTGTAGCCAGTGGATGGTCTGGCTGTCTAAAAGCTATCGAGGCCATGGCTGTACTGGT